TCCGTCCGCCTGGGTCGTGGGGCTCTCGAGTGAGACTCGGGCCCACATCTCCCTCTGCTCCTCTCAGGCCCATTCCCTCCTGGGTCCCACCTGCTTTGCCCCCCAGTTCCCAGCTCATCCAGGGCCCCAACTTCCCTGTCCTCACACCCAGGCGTACCCCTGGTTCTACGGGGGCTCCGTTCTCCTGCTTCAATCAGGTCTGAGGAGCTGGGGCTCAGCTTTCCTGCTTTCCCTGGGGGACAGGACTGAGGTGCAGTGTGTGAGAGGACAGGTGGCGCCTGCGGGCTGTGTCCTGCGAGGAGGGTCCCTTCCTTCCGTTCGGGGTGTTACCAAAGGCAGCGCCCACCCCGCGGGTCTCTGCTGGGGAGTCTTCCCGGGGCGAGCCTGCTCCCCGCAGGTCTGAGGGGCGGGGCTTTCGCATCACGATGAGCTCAGTGTTTCCCTGATCTGCCCCTTCCTAGGCCCCTCGGGGTCTCCGGGGTGGGAGGGGGCTCAGGGAAGGTACCCCCACAGGCAGAGCGGGCCTCCAGGGTCCCCGGGGGAAGGAGCCTTTGGGATGAGAGCTGGTCTTCTCTCCTGGCGAAGGGCGAAGAGAGTGGGTTCGGGGAGGGGAGAGGGGCTCCAGCTGGAACCCTCTGGAGGTGTCACCTCAGGGGCCACCTTCATCCTAGGGAGCCCTCGTGTCCCATTCCTCACAGAGCCGCCCCCCCCCCTGCCCCCCCTCTGCCCGCGGGAGGTTAGAGAGATGAGCCCTGGGCTGGGGCTGGGAGGGGTGGGGAGGCGCCCAGCTGAGCGAGACCTCAGGTGTGTGTTTGGGGAGCAGGATTCAGACTCCCTGCTTAGACCCCTGGTCCTGACTTTGCATGGAAGGAAATGAGCCCCCTGAACATGTACCTGCCCCACCCCAGCCCTCACCCCCTCAGCTCACCGTTGCCCTGGCCCCAGCTGCTCTACCGACCTCCTCTCCCAACCGACGGCCCCGGGAACCAGGCCCCGAAAGGAAAGGCGGGCCGCACCAAGCAGAGCCTTCACCTTGGGAAGACGCACGGTGACGTCTGCTGGGGCCCCAGGAGGCGAGGGATGGACAGGCTCTCACCTCCACCAAAGAGGCGGCAGCAGTAGCCAGAGGTGAGGGGCAAAGACAATAACCCACAAAAAGAGCATCCACCCAGCGGAACGGTCCCTCCGGGCATCCCGCCTGACGCCACATGTCCTCCAACGAGACGTCATTCATTGCAAAACACATGCCATCCCTCAAAAAGAGCAGAGCCCACCTAACGATGACCATAGCTTGCTTCCCTCACCACTTCTCCTCATACTGTAGGAAGGGCTCAGCGGGACTGATTTCAACAGAGATGATCAGGTTGTGCCTGTAACCTGATGTGCAGGCCACAGCAGCCGCGGGATGGCCGGTGCCTGGCTGACAGTGGCCATCGGACACCGTTGATTAAAGACACAACCTGACTGGCGAGAAGGCAGAGTGTGAAAAAGTGCACAGCAGAAAAGACAACTCTGGTAAGTTCTATTATTTCCCGAGCGCTTACCATGTGTTAACTACTGCCAAAGAAATGTATAAGGTTGGTCCTTTATTAGACCCATTTTACAGATTAGGAAACCGAGGCGAGCAGAGGTAAAGTCCCAAGAAACCATGTTGTCCGTGGCCAGTGTCATCCTCTCCGGCGTTAGGAGCGGCGGGCACGGGGCGCTGGAGTGGTCCCCTCGGCAAACAGCTTCAGGGAGAAATCCAGGGCTGGGGCCGCCTGGGTCAGCATCCCCAAGGAGATGACATCGACGTGCGGCCCGCAGAACTGAGGCAGGTTGCCCAGCGTGATGCCCCCGCTGGCCTCCACGCCCACACGTGGGAACCGGGCCTTCAGCGCTTCGGCCGTGGGGTGCAGCTCCTGCGGGACACAAGCTGAGGGGAGGTGACAGCCCCTAAACCGGCCCCACCAAGAAGCAGACCCCGCTCACCTCCGGCCTGAAGTTGTCCAGCATCACGAGGTCTGCTCCTGCCTCTGCCGCCTCCAGGGCGTCCTGCAGGCTGCTGCACTCCACCTCCACCTTCAGGGTGAAGTTGGCCACCTGCTGGGCCTGCCTCACCGCCTGCCGGGGGGCGGGGGGCGAGAGTGACAGGGGGTGGCGTGAGGGGCCCATGGGGCTGGGACTGGCAGGCCAAGGCCCCCAGGGGACAACAAGCGTGGGGCTAATGAGGACACCGGGCATCGGGATGGTTTCTTCCGTATTCGGTGAAACCACATGAAATGTGGGTCAAAAAAAAAAGGCCAAATATCAGTAATATTGGGCATTTGGATGAGTTCAGTTTGACTCAGAGCATTAAACCGGAAGGGCTCTTTAAGAATGTCTCCACAGCCCCTGCGGGTTTGGCTCAGCGGCTAGAGCGCCGGCCTGAGGACCAAAGGGTCCCGGGCTCAATCTCTGTTCCGGGCACGCACCTTGTTGCTGGGTCCGCCTGAGCCCTGGATGTGTTTTTGTCACATGGATGTTTCTCTCTCTCTGTCTTTCCCTCTCTTTCCCACTCTCCCTGGAAACCAGTGGGAAAATATCCGCGGGTGAGGATAAAAATAAGAAAAAAAGGACCTTTTCACCGGTTCAGGGACCCAAGGCTGGAGAGCCATGGACGCTGGACGGCCCACGCTGGTCTTTTGCTCTTGAACATCATGCCAAGCCCTCACTTCACAGAGGGGCGCCTGAGGGGTACAGGGGTCTCATCCCCCTCCCGCCTGCGAGGAAGGGCTGCGGAGGGCCAGGGGCAGAGTGGCCTGTCGGCCATCACCTTTCCCACTCCATGACCTTCCTTTCCCGCTCCGTCACCTTTCCCCTCCATCACCTTTCCCACTCCGTCACCTTTCCCCACCATCACCTTCCCCACTCCATCACCTTTCCCCTCCATCACCTTTCCCCACCATCACCTTCCCCACTCCATCACCTTTCTCCACCATCACCTTCCCCACTCCATCACCTTTCCCCACCATCACCTTCCCCACTCCATCACCTTTCTCCTCCATCACCTTTCCCACTCCATCACCTTTCCCCACCCTCCCCTTA